GTCGGGTGTTAGCGGGGGGGGGGGGGGGCAGAACAAGAGCAGCAGAGACTTGGCCACGGGTGGTGGCTGCAGTGCGAGCACCATGGGCGCGCAAGGTAAAGCGGTCTCGCAGAAGAGGACTAGCCAGTCCATTCAGGAAGCGGTAAACAAATACATAAATACATAGGTGAAGTTGAGGCGTTTCTCAAGGGCGTACAAGTTAGTATGACTGTATAGAAGAGTGGTGGGAGTCATTCTATCCAACGAAAATACTCTCTTTAATGCTACGCGGCTGGCAGTAAGAAGCTTGTTATATAGGGTTTGTGATAACCAATGAATATATGCAGTGTTGCCAAACTCAAATGTGGACTGAATGATCGATAAATAGAAAAGTCGTTTGCCAAAAATGCTGATATTCTGCTTTGCATGGACAAATGCTCCGACATTTGCACATACTGCATCCACCTGGAGTTCCGTAATTCCAAAACACACCATCTCCTCCTCATCATCTCTATTCCCAAAGCTTGACGATAAAGTTCCTATAGAAGATAAGAGTTTGCTTAATAAGTTTAATTGGTCTGGTTGTGTGGGGGATAGCGCTGCGATTTTAAAAGCATTTACAACGACTTTTGTTAAGCATGCGATCAGTCATTGCGGTAGATGATAATGACGTTGGAAAGACAGACGAAACACATCACACTACTACACTTACTGACAATCGTCCGATCCGCCACAACGCCCATCGATTATCACCGGATAAAGCGAAGCTGACGCGTAAATTAGTAGACGACATGTTAGGGCAGGACATTATCGAACAAAGTTCTTTACCGTGGGCCAGCCCAATTGTTTTAGCGAAGAAGGACGGAGGTGGGACACGATTCTGGGTTGATTATCGGAACTTGAATAACGTAACACGAAAAGACGCTTTTCCTTTACCGCGTATGGATGACACGCTTGACACATTGCACGGCGCAAAATACTTTTCGACTTTGATTGATTTGCAATCTGGTTATTGGCAAGTTTTGGTAGCGCCTGAAGATCGAGAAAAAACTGCTTTTGTTACACCACACGGTCTCTGCCAGTTTCGCAGAATGCCTTTCGGACTCACTTAAGGGGCCGTCCATAATTATCGGTCTTTTACGCGAAGAGAAAAAGTTTCGTATATGGGTGGGTGGGTCAAGGAGAGTTTTGTTTTTAAAAATGTTGATATGTGAGACATCAAAGCATTCTTGCTGTCAAGTCAATCTGTTTTCCGTTCAGGGGGGTGGGTGGGTGGGGGAGGGTCCTAACTAAACTTTTTCGTTTCGTGAAAATTATCGATAATGCTGGATAGCCCCTAACGCACCCGCCACATTTCAGCGATTACTTTCTACTGTTCTTAAAGGTCTTTTGTATGTTAAATGTTTAATCTATCTCGACGACATCATTGTTTTTGGTCGCACACAAGAAAAGCATGCAGAAAATCTTTTAGCTGTTTTGAAAGCTCTCGAGAGCGCAGGTCTGAAGATTAAACCTAGGAAATGCAATTTGCTGCGTACGGATTTCTTTTTCTGGGACATTGCATTTCAGAAAAAGAGGTTACACCAAGTGCAAAGAAAGTAGATCAAGTTTCTGAGTGGCCGATTCCGAAGACAATCAAACATGTACAGGGGTTTGTGGGTTTTGCAAACTATTATCGCCATTTCATTTGTAACTTTGGTCGTGTTGCTGCACCTTTGACGAAATCGTCCAAGAAGGGTCAAGTTTTTCGGTGGGGTAAAGAACAGTTGGACGGATTTATGAGACTGAGATCCTAACTTGCAACTGCATCTGTTTTGCCGTATCCAAACTGGAACCGTCCTTTTATTTTAGACACTGGCGCATCGAATTCCGGACTTGGCGCAGTTCTTTCACAGCTTGATAAGGATGGTGTAGAACGACCAATTATTGCTTTTGCTAGTCGTAGTTTATCGGACCCGGAACGAAATTACAGTACAACTTGACAAGAACTTCTCGCAGTAGTATGGGCAACTGAGCATTTTCGAGTCTACCTTTTGCATGCGCAGTTACAGATTCGTTGCGATCACCAAGCGTTGAAATGGCTACGTACTTTCAAAAATCCATGGGGACAAGTTGCCCGTTGGATCGAACATTTGTCGGAATATGATTATACATGGATACATCGCCCGGGCGCACAACACGGAAACACTGATGGTCTTTCAAGATACCCTGTCGATGACGCGTCGCCCACGATTAACTCACTACATTTTCTAGGCAGTGATGAGGCATGTAGGGAATGGCAAGAAGCTACTGACAACGATCAAGATCTTAAAGAAATCAAAAACGTATTACAAAGCGACAACCGCAATAAGCAACCGACTCGTCCAGGCGCACACGCTCTCTGGACCGAAAAAGGTAAACTTTTTGTCGGCAACGGTTTGGTTTATCGAAGACTTAAGATTAATGCTAGCCAATTGATTGTTCCTCGCACATTTCATAGTCTTATTATTCGTGAAGCGCACTCGACAGCGGTGACCGGCAATTTTGCCACAAGACGCACGATTGCATTAGTCGCGGAAAAGTATTTTTGGATTGGGTTTCGCGCTGAGATTGACGAATTTTGTCGCAGGTGTACCGACTGTCAGCGTTTGAAAGCAAAGAATCCCGTTGATCGTGCACCTTTGCAACATTTGGCTTCTTCCAAACCGCTCGAACTAGTTGCAATGGATCTGAAGGGCCAACTGCCAATTTCATCATCAAAAATGCATATATTCTCGTGGTTGTTGCTCATTTTTCAAAATGGACTGAATGCTATCCATTGCCAGATATTCGTGCATGTACTGTCGCTCAATGTTTTGTGAAAGAGTTTGTGTCTCGCCATGGTTTACCTGAGCGCATTCACACTGACCAGGGTAAGCAGTTCGAATCACTATTGTTTCGCGAGCTATGCCTACGTCTTGACATTGATAAATCACGAACGACTCCGTATCATCCGCAGGGCGATGGTGTGGTTAAAAGAGCGAATAAAACGATCCAGAATATTCTGAAGATTTTTGTTGATGAGGCCAATTCGAATTGGGATGAGTTACTTCCTTCGACACATGCCTCTCGATATTTTGTTTCCTCCGCCTGCCGACTGACTTCCTGAAACGCACAAATCTTTTGCGAAAGAACAAGTTTCAAAGTTGCGTTTTTCCTACGATTTGGTTCGACAACATCTCGATTCTAGTCAACGTTGTTCTAAAGTCCGTCGCGATCGAAAATCTCGCCCTAGCCCATTGAATGTAGGTGACCAGGTTTGGTTACATCGACACCCGCCGCCTCAAGTTTCGCCAAAATTTTTCAAGTATTGGTTGGGACCATGGGAAGATGTTACGTATGCGATTGAACCTCGATTTAAGAGTCCTATCCGCCATCGGCCTTGCACAGTCCATCGAAATCGCCTTCGGAAATGACGCAAGTGGGACCTGCCACACGCATACCACTTGCTGCGCATACACGAACACCGCTTGCTGCGCCTGCACACACGTACAATACCCGGTCTTGCACTTCAATTTAATTTGAATTGTCTCATTCACAAATAATTCTTTGATGTCGCTTCCTCGCAGATCGACGGATTTCGCCTCGCCATTCGTTTGCCTGTTTCCTTACTGTTTAGTGCCTACTGATATTCCTGTTTTGTTTCAAGTATACAGCCAGCAGTTCGACGAATTTCGCCACGCCATGCGCTCGCCTGTACCTTTGTTGTCTACCGTTATGCCTGTGTTTTGTTTGAGTATATGTTGAGTGTGCGAGCAGGCACTTCGGAAGTTGTTGTCTTCCGGGGTGCCTGTCACTTCGTTGTCGTTGTCCTTTTCCTTGGTATTGCGTGTGCGGGCAGGCGCTAGCGAAAGTTGTTGTCTTCTGGGGTGCCTGTCGTTTCCTCGTCGTTTTCCTTGTCGTTCTTCTTAGAATCGCCTCGCCTCAAGATTTACAACATTATATGCATGCCTTGAAATAGAGATTACATTCAGGATTGTGTTTACTACTGCTTTAACTATTTTCCTTGCCGTTCCCTCAGAAGTTATTCGCAGGTAATTTATTTTAGAAACCTATTTCTCTCTTTCTCTCTCTCACACTCCCTCGCTCTTATTGCGGCTAATTATTCCCACTCTTTCTCTATTTTGTTGTCCCATAAACGTCTTTATATTCGATCTATTTGCAATTTTTCTCCTTCCTTTTCTCTCGCGGAGTCTTTTCAAGTAGGGGTGGTATGTTAGGTTCACGATATCACATATGCACGCACTCGTAGGCACTCACACACTCGTACTCACCTTTACAGGCTCGCACTCACCCTTGTTCCCTTTTCTAACCTTTTCTTCCGTTAGCCTGGGTAGCTGGATTCGTGCTTTAGCACATTCATTTCCATAGCTACCCAGGCCCTTGATAAGCTCTGGCTTGGACATTTTCTCTGTCTCTCTTTCCAACGTATCTGGACCTGAGACTTGAGTTATTGACTCTCGTCCTTTTGTGACCGTGGCTGTTCGCGTGTGTGATCTGTTGATCTTAACAATACTATCTCTACACACACAATATAGATATTGCGTAACAGCAAGGTACAGTTGTGCTCAATGAAATCTAACCCAAGTGCAACACCATCTCCCTGCACCAGTTCTGGTATTTGTGCATGTGCAAGCCGAGGTGCATTCGTACCCTTTCTAAGACGTCAAAGGTATGCAAGTAATAGTTGAGGGCGCCAACCATCAACTTTTTTCGGATTTCACCGATTCCTACAGAACAGCTGTTAACTACACTTGCATCCATGCACGCAACCATACATACACAAAAACACCATAAATACACACACATCGACCCGCCCGCCCGCCCCAAAAGACAAGACAAGTTGTTTGCTGTTCTTTAACCAGGTTGTCGCTAGTCACATAGAGTATTGATTATCACAGTGTATGTGCCTAGCAAAGTGCTCAGTAAGGGTAGACTGGTCACTAGTCACACTGATCTTTAGTTATAGGTTTTACTGTAGACCTTGAACAAAATGTACTCACCTTGTTGAATGGTGGTAACAGCTGCTGAGACACGTGAAACCTTATCACTAGTGTCTTGCTGCTCCTCCAGTAGTTGTCCAATGCTTGTGGAGGTTGTAGCATTTTGCTCCTGTAGTTGGCGGACAGTTGTGTTGGTCTGGTTTTGCATTTCCACTATGCGTTGACATGCTGCTGTTGTATCTTGTTCACCTATATACATGATAAGATAGGTACACATAAACCGGCACACTCTCACATGCACACACAAGTGTATGCACCCATGTACGAATGCACAAGTACACACACACACACACACACACACACACACACCCACACACACCCACACACACACACACACACACACACACACAAACACACACACACACACACACACACACACACCTTGGACGCGATGCCATATTCTAGCTATGCGGACCCCATGGGGGGGGGGGGGGGTTGAACAAGTTCAAAACAGTGGGGGCGATGTCCTTTGGTCTACTGAAACGCCGACCGCAATTGCAAACGTATTTTGTTCACCTATATACATGATAAGACAGGTACACATAAACACACTCCCACATGCACACACAAGTATATGCACCCATGTACGAATGCACAAGTACACACACACACACACACACACACACACACACACACACACTCACACCTTGGACGCGATGCCATATTCTAGCTATACGGACCCCATGGGGGGTTGAACAAGTTCAAAACAGTGGGGGCGATGACGGAATTGGTGCTTTGGTCTACTGAAACGCCGACCGCAATTGCAAACAATGCAGAAGGAGCTACGGTCTGCGTTGGTTGCTCTGGTCGAGCCACGGATGCACTTGTGACGCTTCATGCCTGTGCGCAATAGCACACAGCGGTTGCAGCGGGCGCTGTGGAAGCTGCAGCGTTCGAAGGACATATTGTTCGTAACCGGTGACCCAGGTGTGTCAGAAGATGCCTCTGCTGGTAATGTTGCTGGCGAGCACTTGTGGCGGGCAAATCTACCCTTGCTCCGGAACCATCTGTTGCACTGGTCGCATTGCCAACTTCCTGGCTGTTGTCGCTTCCTGTCACTTCCACGACTGAAGTAGCGGTGACAAGTTTGGCACACAACCGGTGATAGTCGAGGTCTGTTCTGCTTGTCTGGCAGACAACAGTAAGCCTTGCACCATTTGGAGCGAGACGACACTCCATGTCCAACGTATCTCCCCAGCGCTCCAGAACTTCAACATTCATTATCCTGTCATTCCATACATTTTGACGACTGATGCCCAGTATTGTGCGGACACAACGGAGATAAAAGACAGACAACGCATAAATATCAGCCTCTAGCGGTACCCAGCATTCGGACCCATAGAGCAGAGTCGACAGCACACAAGTATTGTAAGCTGACCGTTTGATGGATATTGTCAGTGTTACATCGTGGAATGTCGCTTCACACACACACACATACACACACACACACCTTTGACCTTTTGACCTTTGGACGCCCATCGCCAGAGGCGATGATAGCAATGCAACGGCAGAAGCCATAGCAACTTGTGCTGGGATTGCACCATTCAACAGCTTGCAAGGCTGAAGAATTGGTAACACTATTCAGCCTGGTCTACACCATACAGCTACTTGAAGTGACTTTTTCCGGCCAGTGAATCCCAACACACACACACACACACACACACACACACACACACACACACACACACACACACATACACACACACACACACACACCGTTGACCGTTGACGCCCATCGCCAGAGGCGATGATAGCAATGCTACGGCAGAAGCCATAGCAACTTGTGCTGGGATTGCACCATTCAACAGTTTGCAAGGCTGAAGAACTGACCGTCACTATTCAGCCTGGTCTACACCATACAGCTATTTGAAGTGATTTTTTCTGGCCAGTGAATCCCACACACACACACACACACACACACATGCACACACCTGACCTGGCACACACACACACACGCACACACGCACACGCACACACACACACACACGCACACACACCTTTGGACCTTTGGAAAGCCCATCGCCGAAGGCGATGATAGCTATTAGGCGAGGCAGTAGTTCTTGTGTCGGGATAAATCATTCGGACGGCGAAAGTCGCGGCCGCAGACACAGACGAACACTCTTGGTTGGGGCTGGCTTGGTGGCTTCCGACGGCTACGTTCGCGCCAGTCCCTCCGGTCCTGAGCAAGGTGTTACCATTGCGTCTCCGGGATACCGGTCGCACGCAGGTCTGAAGCTGCCACATCTCTCCAACGACGCTTGGGTCCATGGCGGGGCCGCGTGTTAGTGCCCTCCGCAAACAGGATCTGCTTTGGCAACCTGGTGTCGTCCATCCTTGCGAGGTGACCAAGCCATCGCAGGCGATTCGCACGAATGGCCTCCTCCAGCGAGGCTGGCATGCCGCTGCGCTTCGCCAAGTCTTCATTTGACAGGTGTTCCTGCCACTGCTGGTCTCGGGTAACACTCAGGATCGTGCGAACACACTGTCGATGGAACGTGTCCAACCTGCGCAGGAGGGGTGCCTTCAGCGTCCATGTCTCAGAACCATACAGCAGCACTGTAAGGACCACGGCCTGGTAGACCTGACGTCGGATTCCAAGCGACAGACCCGAGTTCCGGAAAATTGGTTGGAGGAGGCTACCAAACGCCCTTGATGCCTTGGCGAGACGAGTTGTGACTTCGGCATCCAGCTCTCCATCGTCGCTGATCGTACTGCCGAGGTAGGTAAAATCGCTGACCACGCCGATCACGTCACCAGCACTCCCAGGCACCACAATATCAGCACGGATGACACTCGGACCAACCGCCAAGAACTTCGTCTTCTGCACACTAACAGTTAGGCCCCAGCCTGACGCACACTGCGTAAATTCCTTCACCATCGTCTCCATGTGCTCGTACGAAGTGGTATACAGGGCAGCATCATCTGCAAATAGCGACTCCGACACGGATAAGTCTGTGAGTCTGTGCTTGGCAGTACAGTCGCCAACCAACTTGCGGCCGATACGATGTTTCATCGGGAAACTAGGCACTGTGGATGTTGAGCGCCAGTGTGCAAGGACGGCAGAGAAGTAGAGGTTGAACAACATCGGAGCCAGGGTGCAACCCTGGCGTAGACCATTCTCCACCCCAAAGCTGTCAGACTGACCACTACCCACGCGAACAGACGCCATCATACCCTCGTGAAGAGACCGGATCACCTGAAGCATGCGCGGAGGCACACCGAGTTTCTGCAGGACCAGCCAAAGCGCTGTTCGGGGGACCGAGTCGTCCGCCTTGCGTAGATCCACAAACAAGACGTACAGATCAGATTGATGTTCAATGGCTTTCTCGAGTACTTGGCGGGCAGCAAAGATCATGTCGATGCAGCCCCTGCCCTTCCGAAAACCGCACTGAGACTCTGGTAGCCAGTCTTCAGCGAGTGGCTCAAGCCGGTCCTGGAGCATGCGAGCAAACAGTTTGCCCACAACATCGAGCAAGCTGATGCCACGCCAGTTATCGCAGCTATGCCGGTTACCCTTCTTGGGAATGGGGACTATCTCTGCATCACGCCAGTCAGCAGGGACCGATCCAGTTTCCCAAACCCTAACGATGAACTCATGGAGGCGACCCAACAACAGTTCACCACCACAACGTATCAGCTCTGGCAGAATGCCTGATTGACCACTGGCTGTGCCATTCTTCATACGGCGAAGTGCACGTTGGAGCTCCTCGATGCTAGGGACGTCGTCCAGATGTTCACGAACATCCAATGCAGGCATGCTGTCAACAGTGTGTTGGTCAAATTGGCTCTGCGTATTTAACACCATCTCAAAGTGCCGTCCGAAACGAGCACGAACAGCATCCGCATCTTGGATCAAGTTGCCGTTCTCATCCAGCACAGCAGATGTATGCTTTGAAGTTCTGCCCTTCTCAATTTCCGGCAGCTTCCGGATGCACTTCCAGCGAGTGCGCCCATCTTTCTTAGCCTCCTCAGCATCACGCACTACCTCTGATATCCAGTTCTCCTTCGCCATCCGCACAGCCTTTGCCACTGTACGTTGTGCCTGTCGAAAGGCTTTCCGAGTATCAACTGTATCGTTTGACAGCAACGCTTGATGGCAGGTATTCTTGGCATCAATGAGCGGCTCAAGAGTCGAGCTGCTCTCCAAGAACCAGTCTGGTTGAATACGTTTACCAAAACCAATGATGTCAGAGGCAGCAGACGTAACAGCGTCACGGATGCCAGACCACTCTAGATCTATAGACTCCACCGACTCGCTGGGCACTGCAGAATCCCTGGCCAGACGCTCCTGAACACTATCCTGGAAAGCTGTACAAACATCAGTGTTCCGCAGACTCCTCACGTCAAAACGCTTCCGGTTGCCGCTGCCACTTGTACGCCCATTGCGCGGTGGAGCACCACGACTCAGAGCCAAACGTGCACGGACCATGTAGTGATCAGACCAAAATGACGCGCCACGCATGACAGAGACATCCTGACAGTATACGTGCTGATCCTGTCGCATAATGACATAATCAATCAGGTGTGGTTGACGTGTGGCAGGATGAGTCCAGGTTCCACGCTTGCGTAGCTTCTTCCGAAACCAGGTATTCAAAACGCATAGTGAGTTCCTCGCGCAGAACAACAATAAATCCTCACCAGCCTGATTACATTGACCAAGACCAAAGTCACCAATGATCTGATCCCAGGGGGGCCTATCGTCATACCTGTCCCGAAAATCACCAGTTCCGCGTGACCCTACTCTGGCGTTGAAATCGCCCAGGAGTACAAATATGTCGTTACGGTTGACTTTGTCAACGATCGCCTGCAGGTGTCTATAAAATGTCTCCTTCACGCTGAATGTCGCTTTGTTGGTGGGCGCATAGATGTTGATAACAGACAAGTACTGATCACGGTGACATCGATCTCCGCGGGGTAGTTTGTCCCCCTTCGCGTGAAGTAGGATACGAGCCGTGACGATGCGCGAGCTTACGGGGTCCCACTGTTCTCCGCCACGCCGCCACGCCGCCGACATCTCTGGATTCATCCAAATTCCAACACCCTCGTTCCGTCGGGCTGGTTCTCCCCCTGTTGGGATTGGGCGACCAGAATGAACGAAGGTACAATTGCCGATGGGCCACACATCACTGCCGAACCACTTCGTCTCTTGAATTCCCGCAACTCCGACACGGAATTTTACGAGTTCCGCCGACAAAAAGTCCAGACCTCTGTCCACTCGCGACACTGACTTGTTTTTCCTACATATCCTGGCATCACCTGTGTCCTCTACAAGGGACTGGACATTCCAGCTCGCCATAAAGAGAGTCTCTCGCTCCTTCCTCGACTTCCTCATCGTCCTCATCCTCGTCCACAACTATTCGAAAATTTGAAAATTTTTCAAACAAGAAACACTGCCTCGTCTCGCTTGTGCTTGTGTACCTACTCCCAGCAGAGCGCAAATCCACTGGGACATGCTGCAGCAACCATGGCCTGGTCTACACCACACAGCCATGGCTGCAAACGCAGCTATCCTTCCATTTCGGTCAGAGCCCAGAAAAGTGCAACCGACCTCTTCAACTACAACTCACACACACACACACACACACACACCTGGCCTGGCACGCACACACACACACGCACACACGAACACACACACACACACACACACACACACACACACACACACGAACACACACACACACCTGGCCTGGCACGCACACACACACGCACACGCACACACACACACACACACACACACACACACACACACACACACACACACACACACACACACACACACACTACTATTACTACTGTGTACAGCTACGCCCTATCGGGCCACGTCGCGGGAGACAACAACAAGAAGAGAGAAGAGAAGAGAGAGAAATCGCAAAGTCAACAGTACTGGGCATGGCGTTGCAAGTCCTGTGGCCTTGAGAACAATCAACCAGGTGATGGAGTGTGGGCACCCGAAGTCCCACCTAGACTCCACTGGAAGAACATCCCACGCAGGGATATCAGTGATAGGCCAAGCGTTGAAAAACAGCCATGAGGTCACATCGTCTAGAAGTCCACAGCGCTCGAACTGAAATTGAAGGATCAAACAATTTCCCACGCGTCGTCAGGCAGAGTAACTCTTCTTCCTGCTTCACCATCCATCTCCAGCAACCGTCTCCACTCACAGCTCATGTCTCTGCCACCACTGTACTCCGAGCTTAGCAGTTTGAAACCATTCGGGGCTAAGCTACACCACCGCGTATGGAGAGACGAGGAGGACAACGGTCGTGAAAGAAAAGACACTGCCCTGGCGACCGTGTCGCGGAACCCTCGCCCGACAAATTCAGAAGCACGCCAGGGGCGACTCTGGTGGACCAAGAGCCACCCCGTGGCCTAAGGCTAGTAAGAGGAACGACTGAAAACTCAGATAAGACGGAGCTACAAAAAGTGCAACTGTCCCCTTCAAGCACAGTTGCACACACACGCACACGCACATGCACATGCACACGCACCCACACCCGCACCCGCACCCTCACCCACACCCACACCCACACCCACACCCTCACCCACACCCACACACACCAACATACACCCACACCCCCCCCCCCCCCAACACACACAGGGGTCACACATAGGTTTATTTAATCCTCAGTGGGCTGGCTGTGGGCCTCGCCGGCTGCTCATGTCATCGGCCCACTATAGGCAGCAGCAGGCTAGTCCTTGGTGGGTCGTTCGCAGTGGCGGGTTTAGGGGGTGCGCGGGGGGGGGGGGGGCGCACGCCCCCCCCCCCCCCTCCCCTCAAAGGTTTCAATCTAGGATTCGAAAATAAAAGACAGGGCTGGGGGCGCGCGGCCGGAAACGATCGTCGAAAAGCGGTTGCACGGTACGGTACTCGAGCTGTTGTTGATTGTACACACTACAGAGTAGCAGTGAGCATGCACGGCTACAGAAACACGGTGACCTGACTGTGTACACTGTTGTACAGTGTGATCGCTGCTGGGAGCCTGGGACGCGCTCGACGCGTCTTGAGACTTCTTTCCGCAACTTTCAAGTTTGCACAACGATGTTTTGAGGTCGAGGATGATCGCCTGAGCCCTCAGCCAAATCCTGGACACACCACTGGTTCATGCGTCTGCCCCCCCCCCCCTCCCCTCCCGTGGGCAGTGTAGATCAATGACGATCGAATGTGATGACATGACGCGACTATTATCGTTTGCTTTCTTGGAACTGGTCTATCATCACATAAAAATAATAGACCTACTGTTGTGGACATGGAAATCCGGTCGCACGTCTAGCGGCCCCAGGGCGCTGGCCATGCAGCCGTCGGTAAGCGGTACACACGTGCATGGCTGCCACTTGCTCCGATTTTTCGGAAATCGTCCGATTTTTGATCGCCTGTCCGACAAACCAACCGATTTTGTTCCCAAAGAGGGACAACCAATTATTTTATTTCGAGCGCTTTTTAGTCCAGTTGGCCGGTCATTTGTACACGTAGATCTACGTACATGTATATGTACTATAATGTAGCTGTAAAATGCTCGCGTGCTTGCATGCACTTGGAGTATGTACGGTGTACGGGATGAGCTGTAGCAACGGCGGTTGCTACAGGCGCTAGGCAGCTTTGCACCTGCAGTACATGTACAGTATATAAATATGCCGCCACTGCGTACTCGTACTGGATCAACCATCATTGACGTAGTGATGATCGATCGTCAGCCGTTTCGGCGTCGCGTTGCGCTGCGCGGCGCTGCATGCAGTTCACAGGGTTCATCATCATGCCCTGTTCCTGAATCTTGCCGTTTCTGGTGTATGACGACGATCTTTCCGCTTGATCTGATGATGGTTCCGTACCTCGTCCACCCGCAGCTACGAAGAGAAGGATTGCAGTGTCTGATTCGTCGTCTGACTCGGATGCAAGTGAAACTGAAGCAGTTGAAACACAGTCTGTGGCTGCTGTTCCAGCTGGCAAAAAGAAACGGCGTTGTGTGAGCTATCAAGCTGTCTGGGAGGAGAACCCGATGCTGAAAGATTGGCTGACCAAATCAAAACAGGCGGATGGAAAAGCCTTCTGCAAAATATGCCAGAAGGACTTGGAGTTTGGGAATGGAGGAGCATATGACTTGGAGCGCCATGGAAAATCGGTGGCTCATCAGAAGCCAGCGAAGTCTACGAAACGCAACCCAGTCTTTCTGCTACAGTGTCGCAGGCCTCTGCTATGTTGCAAGCGGTGACTGATGGTGAGCTGTCAATGGCCTTTTACATTACCACTGTTTGTCATACTGTGCAGTTCATATGCAATGTTCTTCAGTGGCAACCACCTCCGTTTTTTCTACATGCACAGTATAGCTGTAGTTGCTACAATTTCGTAGACTTCTTTTTCAATATTGGGGCATGATGTATCTGCCTGGAATAGAATAAAGCAGCAAGTGTTCTTGTAGAATGTTGCTACAAGACTACGGTTGCTGCATAATTGACATGGTTGTAGTGCGTGTGCTGGACAGTTAAAAATGTGTTCTGGGGCACAAACAGCAAGCCATTTTCCTAAAACATTTCATCGCGGGTGCGCTGCCCCCTGCACCCCCGCCCACGGATACGCCCGGACCCCCTCAGATTTTTCTCCCTCCAAGTGTGGCAGCCCTGCACGTGCATTTATGCTCTGCAGTGCACATGATGATCCAATCGGATCAACAGGTGCACTGCAGGAAGCGTTCTGTACGCGCTGAGGGCGCCGGCCCCGGTCAATCGACTGGATTTCCATGCACGCTACAGTAGATCAAGCATATTATTGAACATCTAGATGAAGTCTACGGGACTCCCTAACCCTATGTGCTGCTTGTGAGTGTGCGTGTGGGTACGTCGTTATACGCACAGAGGGGACTTGGTAGTATTTGCAACTATGTTTGTGCACATGGATGTGTGTGTGTGTGTGTGTGTGTGTGTGTGTGTGTGTGTGTGTGTGTGTGTGTGTGTGTGTGTGTGTGTGTGTGTGTGCATGCTGGATACCAGGCTAAATATAGTGGCGGTCAATTCATCAGCCTTGCAAGCTGTTGAATGGTGTAATCCCAGCACAAGTTGCTATGTCTAACATAGCTGTTCGCTATCATTGCTTCCGCGATGGGCGTGTCTGAGGTGAGGTGTTTGTGTGTGTGTGTGTGTGTGTGTGTGTGTGTGTGTGTGTGTGTGCGTGCGTGTGTGCATGCGTGTGTGTGTGTGTGTGTGTGTGTGTGTGCATGTGTGTGCACGAATGTGCGTATGCGGAGGTGTGCTCGCATGCCTGGGTGTGTAATACCGTGTACCTGTGGGAGTGGGCTAAATTTCTGTATACTTGCCTTTCTCCAGTCTCTGCGAAAGTGCACCGAATTGTTGCTGTGTTTTATCTGTGATAGATTGTTGAGATGCAGTTAGTGCGTCCACCGATGATAAGATCTCTGTCAACATAGCCAAGACAGCGGTGTAGTCAGTGGAAGGAATGTCTCTCTTCAATGCTTCCATCTGAAACACAATGTACATTCATCAAGACATTGGAAAATAATGAGATGACTGAGTGTCACCGGATAACAGATACACAATAATGAGACATAAAAATGGCATAGCAACATAACGGTGACATCACAATGGGTACATTTGATTACACACATTTCAGTAATCAGTTATGTTGGATGCACCGTTCGTTGACACTAATTCCGTTGTCAGAATCGACGGAATCCGATTCCGTCAAACCCATCAATTCTGAAGGGAGGACGGAATTGTTAAATCTCTCGCCAGAATTGACGCGCTCGACATGCATGTACAAGCCATGATAGGTGCATGTGCGTGCTAGGTGCATGTGCGTGCTATGGTGTACGGGATCCCAGGTGATCCCCTATTACGATTTTTACGTTTAGATGTGGGCTTTGCGCAGCAAAGCCTAGTTAGCCCATGCACACACATGCTGGTGGCGGAGTGCTGCGAGTGCGTAGTACGTGACCACCTCGTGATTAAGCCGTGTGCGCCGCGTGTGGCCTGGCAAAATTTTATGGACAATTGTGGATCCGGCGTCTAATGATTTGGAGATGTGTTTTGCTGAGCTGTCTTTGGGCGAAGGAGCGTTCTTTGCAGTTGCAGTTTCTGTGTCAAGTCAAAGGTTTTTGCAAGTCAAAGTTTTTCTTCCTTCCGAGGTTTCCCCCTTTTCTCTGTTACTTGCTGAGATGAGCACCCGACGTGTCGCGACCCGCAGCATGGCTGCGCGAGCTCCTCCTGCTACTGCAGCACCCCCTGCTCCCCCGGCAACGCCGGCTCTGGCGCCTGGGTTTTCTCCTGGCCAAATGGCAACCCTCCAGGCCTGGATCGCCACATCGGTCCAGGCGGCTGTTAGAGGCGTCGCCCCTGAATCCTCGCGTCAGGTGGAGTCCACACGCCGACTGTCCCGCCCGGCTGCCCCTGCCAACACTGCCGATCCTCGGGTGCAGGTGGAGGAGTCGCTTCCCACAGGTACGGGTATGTGTAGTAGTAGTTCCACACGTGTGCCTACTAGTGCTAGCCCCCTACCTCTGTGGCTGCGTCGACTATCGTCGACGGGCTGTCTCCCCCTAGTGGTGTGACTATCCATAGCTCTCGTGTGCCTACTCCTAGTATGAATATCTCTAGCAGTCTTCCGTACAATGATTTCGTGTGTAACCCTAGTGCTGTCAATGTCGGGTCCCGTAATGGGGTGACTGACCACGTGCCCCGTAGTACGTACAACAAGGTGCTGCACTGGGAATATGGGGAGCTTGCGCTGTTCCTCACCCCCTCGCGGACAAGCCAGCCGCAAAGCGAGTCCTGGTGTCAGAGGATAGTGGCCAGCTAGTGTTCTCTCCATCCCTGCCATCCCGCCGCAAGCTGGAGAGCCTGCTCGTTTGGCTGGAGGCATGGTCGGTGTATGCGCACTAATCTGCGACACCCAAACCCGCAAGGACGGTGTCGCTGATCACGTATCACCTTCGTATCATTCAAGCGGCGAAACGATATAGGTGGGCGACGGTGTGCCAATATGACGAGGAGTTCCGTCAGAAACTCGCCCACAGCCCTGGCATGCAGTGGGATGTGGTGGGTCAGGACCTGTACATTCGCTGTTTCACAGGCTAGCCGCTTGTTCTCTGCCCGCTCTGCACGCGTCTCGGACACACCGCCAACACCTGCACCTCCCGGGACCAGCGCAAGCCCGGCACGACCCAGCCAGCGTGCGAGCTGTACAACAAGGGCCGGTGTAATTTTCGGAATTGTAGGTATCGCCACGTCTGCAGCTCCTGCGGAGCTCCCGACCACGTCGCCACCCGGTGCGGGGCTCACGCCGGCCAGTGAGGCCCCGGCTAGTCCGTATCCTGCTTTATCCACGCACACACCTCACACTTCTGTTGTTTTTAATGCATTCGTGTCTGATTCGCACGCACATACTTGGTCCGGCTCATCGCAATTGTCGCTTATCTATCGCCACTAAGAGCAGGAGTTTTGTTGCCGCTCTGTGATTTTTTCAATAGGCATAGTGAGGAAGCATGATACAAGAATTCTCTCCGCCACAAGAAAAAAAATTCAGCCATAGAACCAGGTGAAGCGATTCATACAAGGGAAGCAAAGTAAGCAAAATGCACGAAATAAATCAGCGAAGGAGCGCGTTCTTGCACTCACACCCTTACAGGTCCAGAGTTCATTCAACTCTCCATCACTCGAGCTGCCGAGCTGCCGCCGTTACATGGGCTGACATTAAAGGGGAAGTTAAGGCAAAAATTAAAATTTCACCAGTTGTAGTCTTCGGGGTGCTGAGTCGAATGGTCGTGGTCCGAGGAAGCTGAGACGCTCCCTTCCTACTTGAATCCCAATCGAACTCGCGCACTTCCACCGAAACTGGGTGACTGCGCCCTACTAGATGGGGATTCGTATGCAAAATGTCACTAAAAGCGCCATTTCGTTCTTATAAAAGCACGGATGACCGCGATTGGCCCATATGTTGTAGTCTTTTGGACGCTGAGTCGACTGGTTTTGGTCCGAAAAGGCTGCGATGCAGCGTTCCTCCTTTATTCCCAATCGAACATGGTTGAACAAGCGGTCACGTGCTCCTGCGTACGCCAGTCACCTGGTCACCGTGCCTGCAGGGTACAACTTACTAGCCTGTTTGACCATTTTTGGGTGCAGTCCTGTCACTCGAGTTGAACCTTGGTGTGAAAGTTGTCACCTGCTGGCGTGGTGACCAGGTGATTTGGGCACCCAGGAGCACGTGACCACTTGTTCAACCATGTTCGATTGGGAATAAAGGAGGAACGCAGCCTTTTCGGACCAAAACCAGTCGACTCAGCGTCCAAAAGACTACAACATATGGGCCAATCGCGGTCATCTGTGCTTTTATAAGAACGAAATGGCGCTTTTAGTGACATTTGTATACAAATCCCCATCTAGTAGGGCGCAGTCCCCCAGTTTCAGTGGAAGTGCGCGAGTTCGATTGGGATTCAAGTAGGAAGGGAGCGTCTCAGCTTTCTCGGACCAAGACCATTCGACTCAGCACCCCGAAGACTACAACTGGTGAAATTTTAATTTTTGCCTTAACTTCCCCTTTAAATAATTGCTAGTGTCTAGCTGCTGGCGTAGACTGGTAGAGTATCTCTTGGTTTTTCAGCCTGTCGAGTGTCGTCAGGCAGCAATAGGAAAGGAACAGTTGTGTCTGTCACTTCGGTGCTTGAAGGAACCGTGGGCAGTGTGACCTGTGTGTCACCACAATGTGTTTCAACAGAGCCTTCGAATGAGGCATACAGGCCTCTCCAGACAGCTGTCATACGCTCCACTGGATGCGCTGAGGACGACTCTTGTAATGCTGCTGCCAGATCCACGAAGCTTTAAGGAACAAAAGGAACAACAAAAACGTCCATTGCATGCGCGCATCGCATCAAAAACTTTCTTCTTCAGCATGACGCTCATACTCCTCTGCTGTGCAAGAGTGCCTGTCACGCTCTCCAGGATGTCAGTTGCCCCCTGCTACAGTTCCGGTCTTTGGGTCGCTGCGCTTGGCTTTTGGTAACACAGACAGTGAATGGCCAGATTTCCACTTCCCAAAAAAGTCGAACACATCGCAATTCAAAGCGCTAGTCGCAATCATTTGTTTCTTTAGTGCCTCATTTGATCTTGCCATCACAACCTCTCAAGCAAAAGTAAGTTAGATATCGTGATTGGACTGGGTTTTACCCGTCAAAAAGTGCGTGGGAGATAAGCGACAATTGCGATGAGCCGGACCAAGTACACACCCTGCCTTACTCACGCACACCCCTCACACTCCAATTGTTCTGCAGGCATTCAAAATTGAATTGCTCGCACACCCTGATCCTGCATTTGTTGCCCATTTGTTAGATGGTTTACGCTATGGTTTTAGAGTTGGCTCTGACGGTCCCCGTCATTCTTTGCTTTGTGAGAATCTTGGTTCGGCATTTGTTCCCCCTGAGATTGTTTCAGCTTACCTCGCTAAAGAGGTTCAGCTTGGTCATGCGGCCGGTCCGTTTCGGCAACCCCCGTTCGCCAACTTCCGTTCGGCTGGCATCGGTGTCATTCCGAAGAAGTCAGGTGGCCACCGCCTGATAGTGCATCTGTCCGCGCCGGCCAGCGCTAGTATCAACGATGTCATTCCCGAAGACCTGTACAGCCTCGAGTACATTACTGTGGACGTCGTCGTGGGGCACATGATCTGTCAAGGCAAGGACGCGCTAATGTACAAGGTGGATATCCGCCACGCGTTCCGAAACATCCCCGTCCACCCACACGATTGGCCCCTCCTAGGCATGGTGTGGGACGGGCAGTATTTTTTTGACAAGGTCCTGCCATTCGGGCTGCGATCTTCCCCGGCTCTCTTCAACCTGCTGGCAGATGCGCTATGTTGGATACTCCGGCACAACTATTCCCTGGCCGACCTTGAGCATCATCTGGACGACTACATCGGCGTCGCCCCGCCTAGCCCCTCTCCATCGTCATCTACCGCAGCCATTCAACAAGCAACGCTGCTAACCGTGTTTGAGAACTTGGGCGTTCCAGTGGCTACCGGCCATGACAAGGTCGTCCCTCCAACGACCGTGATGACTGTGCTGGGGATCAAAGTTGACAGTGTGCAGCAGGTGACACGGCTCCCCCAGGATAAGTTCGCCCTCCACACAGCTCTGGCAACTTGGCTCCGGCGCACCAACTGCTCCAAGCGTGAGCTCCTGTCCCTCAAAGGCACGCTTTCCTTTGCCGCCAAGGTGGTCCCCGGGCCGCACGTTCATTCGGCGCCTCATTGACCTCAACACAACGGCTTCCTCCATGTCTGCCCGGATATAGGGCCCGGATCCCGATCGACGAGGAAGCGCGCCTCGACATCGCCTGGTGGCATCGCTTTGCGACCGACTGGAATGGGAAGTCCTTCTTCCACGACCAGGCCTGGTCCCGTTCTCCTGACCTCCAGTTGTTCACAGATGCCTCCGGCGAGGGCTACGAGGGCTACTTCCAGGGCGACTGTTTTTTTGGGAAGTGGCCGGAAGAGTTTAAATCTCCTCAGCTAAGCGTTGTTATGGTTAGAGAAATGGTTCTCATTGCCCTAGCTTGCTGCATTTGGGGTCCGTGCTTGGCAGGGAAGAAGCTGCTGTTTCATTGCGATAACGAGGCGGTAGTTAGAGCTTGGAAGAATGGTTCATGTAGGAACAAGCAGGCCATGGCGTTGATCCGCTTTATGTTAGCTGTTGCCGCTAGGCACAATTTCATAATGTATATCCGCCATATTGCTGGCATTAATTACGGCATTGCTGATGCTCTTTCTCGCTTGCAGCTCACCCGCTTCCGTCAACTGGCACCAACGGCGGCTGCTTCGCCAGTGCCATGCCCCTGCCCGACCGTGCTGCTCTAGGCCTCGAGGCTGATGCCCTTGTAGCAGGTTCAGTGTCGGAACGCTCAGCGAGAATGTTCTCCACTGGCATTGATGCCTTCAATGATTATTGCGCTAAACATATTGTTAACCGAATTTGTTTGCATATCAGGCTTGGAGACGACTTTGCTGTGTTACCGCGCCTGATTTGTGGTGGCTGGATAATGAAGATTGGTACCCTCGCGTTGCTCTCGCCAAGAGCTTTCCAATAAGCCCTTGATTGTGAAAATCAAGTGAAGAACACCAAAGTTATGACATGGAAAAGTTGAAAATTGTACTGACATTTTGTAATTCTGGTGCATACTGTGCTAGTAATCCGTCCATAAAGGGTTAAACCCCTTGCACCCTCTAAGGAGGATATCGTATTATTTGCTACCGAGCTGTCCCGTACGATGTGTGTGGCGACTGTGCGTGTGTATTTGTCAGCGGTACGGTATCATTTGCTGTGCAAGCAGGTTCCTGTGACTTTTATGCAGTCCTTCCGTCTTTCTGCAGTTCTCAAGGGCCTTGAGAGGAGGCAGGGTCCCGCAACCACGACGCGGAGAGGTCTCACTGGGCAAGATCTGGCCGACTTACAGCATTTCCTACCCTGGTCCAACTACAGCGAGTCAGACCGCGCAATGATCTGGGCCAGTGTCTTGACAGCGTTCCACGGCCTCCTGCGGGCGAGTGAGCTCCTGGCACCGCATGCAACAAGAGTCGATAGAACGCGCACACTAACCTGGCAGCAGATCAGCGTCCAGACATCATCGGCAGTCGTCCGCTTGCGGGTGACGAAGACAGCCCAGCTGGGTGACGGCGACCAAGTACAGCTGCGCGAGACGCGCGACGACTTCTGCCCTGTGTGTGCCCTGACCGCCTATCTGGACCTTGCGGGTCAGAGAGAGAGGCGACGGAGCCAGTGTTTGTGTTTGCGTCTAGCCCGTTTCTGACCAGGGAGGAACTGACCAAGATTAAGCAGGTAGCCCTGAGGACGAACGAGGTCAGCTCTAACTCCATGCGTATCGGTGGCGCTTCACTCATGGCTCAGCGTGGGGCAAGTGAATGGCAAGTGGGGCGGGCGGGCCGCTGGAGAAGCTCTGGATGCGAACGTTACATGCGGCAGGCAGCCGGGATGCCTAGCTTGTAAGTTATTGAGCGGCGCTCGCCATGATAACTAGTACGGGTATGCCTGCACGGGCGCAGTATTAGTGTTAGGAATTCGCTGCACCTGCAGCCGTCGTCACAAAGCTAGCTCGTTGTGGGTTGCGGGGAACGGGATGCCATGGTTTCTAGGACTACAGTCGACCTACCCTTATAACGATAGCCTCTATAACGATATTACCCTTATAACGATATTTTTTCTGCCAAACCAAATCACTCCATTGACTTGTGCATACAATGCCTTACCTCTATAACAATATTGCTATAACGATATTACCCCTATAACGATATAAAATGGGGTGACCAATCGACATTTTCCATTTTATAACTATATCTAGCAGGGATTATGTAGAGCCCACTATCCAGGTAGGGCAAGCTTCACTTGAAAAGTTGCTGAGACATGACAAAATGCTATGGGGGCACCAGTGGGCACCTTGCTATGTACATAATGTGCATGTACGACAGTTTTTGATGCTATGAAGAGCGTAAAAATGAACAAAATCCATGTATTATGACGTATGTGTATGAAATGAACCAGTTACCCCTATAACAATATTACCCTTTTAACAATATTTCTTGGTCTGATGCAAATATCGTTATAAGGGTAGGTCGACTGTACTATCTTTTTGGGGCAAACGGGCCTCCTATTATGTCTGTATGTTGTGACGCCTGATGCCAGGCAGTCGTGTGAGCCCTCGGTGGGCGATTGGCTGGCCTCGGTGGCCGCTTGTGTGCCCTCAGCGGGCAAGATGATATCGGCCCACGGTGGGCAGTTTGCTTGCCTCGGTGGCAATTTGCACACCCTTGATGGGTGGTCTGCTGGTTTAGCCCTCGACGGGCGGTTTGCTGGCCGCGGCGGCCATTACCCCTCGGCGGGCGGTTTGCTAGCCTCGGCGGCCATGTGTGCGCCCTCGGTGGGCAGTATGCTAGTTTAGCCCTCGGCGGCCATTTGCGCGCCCTTGGTGGGCAGTAGGCTAGTTTAGCCATTCGGGCGCCCTTGTGGGCAGTATGCTAGTTTAGCCCGCGGCGGGCCGCTGTGGCCATTTGTGTGCCCTTGGCGGGCGGATGCTAGTTTCAGGCATGCATCTTTACTCAACCAATTATTATCAAAGAACATGATCTGGAATATTCGAAGTGTCCAAAAGAAATCATGGCAGCCCCCAACCCAATGTGTCTATTGTATGTTTGTGCACGCCAAAGTGAGCGGTACGTTGTGCGGGTGTCTGCGTGTCAGAGCATGGGTACACCAGTGGTGTGTGCGTGCATGTGTGCGCTTGTGTCTGTCTGCATGAGTGCACGAGTGCCCAAGCTGGGCGTGCGGGTGCACTTGGAGGTGATTGCATGTTGACGGGTGCAGGGGCTAATGAATTTTTTACATGGCCACAATCCGGATTTATAAAACCGGGGTCCAGACTGTGTAATCGAAAGCACCCAGCAATATCACAGTTGAATCACAGAGCCATCACAGTATAACAGTGACATCACAATGATATCACAGTGACATCATAGTGACATAACAGTGACATCACAGTGACATCATAGTGACATCACAGGGACATCTTAGTGAAAAGGCAGTAACATAACAGTGAGACGAAGATGAGGCAACAGTACCATAATTCTGAGCTTAGAAACAAGGTCAGAGTTAGGTACTAATGAGTTATGCAGCTCTAACTGCCAACCCAGATTTGACCCCTGGCCTAAGTTAAAAATGATTTCATCGTCATCTTTGGCTCTATGCACTCTTATGCATCACGCACACGCACACACTGTATTAGAAAAAAATGTTTTTAAATCTTGGGTGTTGTGTGATCAACTAATGAGACTCTCCAGCTGAATCTGCCCTCTAAGTCCCCCCCCCCCTCCCCATCAACACACACACACACACACAATACTCTGCTTGCACCCACACACACACACATATCTAGTATGTACAGTAAGATATCTGTACCTGAGCTAAGGCTTCATTGCTCCTCTCCATTGCTGCAGCTGCGCCATGTTTAGCTTCAAGCACCGACTTGCTGACACGAGTTGCTTCCTTGCTAACAGCAGCCAGTTCGTCTTTAGTAGCAGTTATCTTCAAATTCTGTGAAGCATATGTAAATTGTGTGTTTGCACATGGCACAATCAATGATACCATGACAACACACAATGATCCAATGGTACCATTACAATTATTATAATTATTTTTCTTCGGACTTTTCCCGTTTGTCTCTTTCGCTCAAACCCGTTAATAGTTTATGACTTGGGGCTCCCCGCGTGCTAGTTTGTACGTGAAGTGTGTGGGTTACAGTGAGGGTTGCGTCCCACCCGCCTGTGTGGATTCACAGGAAGTGTGAGTTACGAAGTCTGAAGAAAATGTTGAACGGCCTCTGCTGGGATGACGACTAAACCAAAGCTCCGTGGTTAGAGCATCGCTGGCTACAAGCGAGGGTCCCTGGTTCGAGTCCTGGTGCTGACAGTCAATTTTTCTTCGGACTTTTCCCGTTTGTCTCTTTCCCTCAAACCAGTTAATATTATTATTATAATTGTTATAAAACGAAGGTAAGTTATGGGTCGCAAGTATCCACGCAAACACACATCCAGTCATAATAAGGCACTTGTCATAAGTATCCGAACGTTTTCGGTCCCTTCTCATCAAGGATTATACAGGGAATGGCTCAAGTTGGAAAGACTAAAACTTATATAGCGTTAAGATAATTAGATAACAACACTCGTGACAAGGTGGAAAATTATCAAGTTTAGCACGACACAAAACTCGAAGGGAAATAAGAATAGTGACAACAACATAGTGAGCAAATTAAGTTACATTGTTACCACCTCGACACCAAATACAATATCAATATCGGACACCGGACAAGTTGGAGTAAGAAGCTCAATAGAAACCCGCAATGGAGGAGACGTAGCTGAAAGGACACTGGGTATCGCGCACCCAACGGTTAGTGTCAAGAAACGTGGAAGGCCGCGGAAACGCGTAGAGACGGATAGTGGTGATGCCACGAAGAGGCCAGATGACGGGACATTGGAGGAGACAACACCCAATGGAGCTAAGAACTGCACTTCGTCAATCAAGCAACATCTGTCAGCCCGTACCAATTGTCACGAGTTGTACAGTGATACTGTTTTCTCAATATTGTCACGTGGTAGATGTGCGTTGCATTTGGCTGTGTTAGAAGCTTTGAATATCCGTAAGTTAGATCCTGAACTTTGCGTACAGAAAGAAAATGTGTTGTCGCTACAATTGTTTGGTGTTACTCCTCGTCGAGGTGGTAACAATGTAACTTAATTTGCTCACTATGTTGTTGTCACTATTATTATTTTCCTTCGAGTTTTGTGTCATGCTAAACTTGATAATTTTCCACCCTCGTCACGAGTGTTGTTATCTAATTATCTTTACGCTATATAAGTTTTAGTCTTTCCAACTTGAGCCATTCCCTGTATAATCCTTGATGAGAAGGGACCGAAAACGTTCGGATACTTATGACAAGTGCCTTATTATGACTGGATGTGTGTTTGCGTGGATACTTGCGACCCATAACTTACCTTCGTTTTAAAGTATTATCCGCCTCCGACCTCTTTTAAAATTATAATTGTTATAAGTATTATTGTAAAGGCGACGAGGAGACAATAACTTTATTAATGCGATTAATAGTATAAGTGAAGCGGACATTACAAAATGATTAATGAGAATACATGTATCTAAAATGGTTGTTCCTAATCGATTTTCTTGAGACTATCTTCAGGGAAAAAATCTTTTTTTCTTCTAATTTATTTAGTCTTCTCTCCTACTTTTGTTTTTTTTCACACCTCACCTTGTATACTTACCACTATCCGATAACCTGTAAGTAGTTTGTTTCTTCGTAAAGCCTCTATTGTGAGACGATTTTTTCCCTGATGATAGTCTCAAGGAAATCGATTAGGAACAACCATTTTAGATACATGTATTCTCATTCATCATTTGAGCCGCGCCAAGCTAAAAAGTGGCTTCGTGTTTTGCCAACAAATCGAGAAAATCACCAAAACGTCACAGTTGGCAAAATTCTACTCGAGCGCGATCGCGAAAATATTCACTTTCAAGTAATGTTTGCAAGCGGATGAAGAGAGAAGCCTTTTTTATGTTTGAGCAAAACTTCTTCAGTGTTCCCTCTTTCATCGTTATGGGGGGATTCCTCAGCGCTGCCAGAGATCGTAATGGAGCTTCTAGAGAATGTGGAGGTGAGCAGGATGACATTCTGTATCCGTGTGCGCCCAAACCTACTTGACGAGGAAGAGTCGCTCATTCATAGTGGCTGTGTTTCTTATCGTGGCCACGACTAGAGCGGCGAGTATAGCCATGGGGAGACGTCTACAGTACAAGCCTTCCGACTATCATTCTGACAAGCGGCCTGGTGAGTTGGCTCTTGCTGCGATGTTTCACTTTGTTTCGGCTACCTTCAATTTAGTGTTCATGACGTGGCATGCTGGATTCCAAAATTTCCTCGATTCAAGGAAATAGTGCCACACGACGAAGCGATGCATTGACTCTACCTGCTAGCATATTGTCCCGTGGCGCCTTCTACCAGTATCCATGGCAAGGAAGGAGAATGACAAGGACTAGGACGGACAAAGAACCAGTGCCGCTTGTTAGCGATGTGCAGTCTACTGGACCTATGTAGGTGCGAGGGCAGTACACCAATGGAGCTAGATCTCTGACACAGCACTACGAGCTACATGAAAGGATTAGTTCATCCTGACATAGGTGATTGGAGAGAATATGACGGACTGACTCTTGGTAAGATGCGACGTTCCCCAACCCAGCGAAAAATATAGTCACAACATCATGATGAAGGATATATGAAAATTCGTATTGCATGATAAAATGACATGAGTCATGATGAAAATAATGTAGATCTGTTCTTTCTTCTTTCTTAGATCTTCTGATTAGAACACAAGTTCTCATTTTTCTTGTATTGCTTGCACACCTGCTAAGCTTTGTCTCCACTTGGTGTCCCATGTTTTCTTGAAGTTTGGGAAGGTCTTGGAATCCTTAGTGTCATTGATACCAGCCATTCTGTGACATGTGCACGATGTATGCTTATTTATGGCACATATACATTTCAGATGGGCACCAAAATCTCCATGATGGAAGTTGGATATATAGACATCACTTTGGCATGAAAAAAGAAATTTCCAAAAATTATGCCTAAGCCACCTTTTAGCTTGGCTCGGCTCATTTTGTAATGTCCGCTTCACTTATACTATTAATCGCATTATTATTGTGGAAAGGAAAAAGACATTATGAATACGAGTTAAGAGTAACTCTCCATCACTGTAACATGATAATTTAAACAGTCAGAAAGTGCAATAACTAGGCACAAAACTGACAGAGTACTGAGACATTCGACGTCCTGACACCTAGCTTCAGCCCATCTCCGTAGCGCTAACCGACTGCCTTCCAACTTGGAAGTTGACCAAAGAGGGGAAGGCAAGCGCAACAAAAACGAGCAAAAGCTGCAGTCCCAACAGAACAAAGAATGTCGATTGTTACTGGACGATGACGAGACCAGAACGATATTTGACAAAGCGGTCTAACTACAATTCGAAGCAACAAAGCAGCACACCACCCAACTTGGGTGGGTCATAAATATTAAAGATAAGTAAAGAAATGGGAAGCTTTGCGAAAACGAATTGTACAAGCCGAAAGCCAAACTCCTACAGTACTCCTCATGCATGACATTGTGATGGACTAGTTGAATACAAAACAAGTTGTTTCACACGACGTACGTTTCGCCGTATGGTTCGTGACGGCTCATCAGGTGTGCAAATTGAAACTCGGATGTTGAACCATAAATAAATGTAGAAATTATCAGGACGTCGAATGTCTCAGTACTCAGTGTCAGTTTTGTGCCTAGTTATTGCACTTTCTGACTGTATAAAGTATCATGTTACAGTGATGGAGAGTTACTCTTAACTCGTATCCATAATGTCTTTTTCCTTTCTACATTTATTTATGGCTCAACATCCGAGTTTCAAATTGCACACCTGATGAGGCAATCGGAATTGCAGGGACGCAGGGCATAATGGGAGAGATTCGCAAGCGGCAGGATCGGAGGTGACAACAGCCAAGTCGTCGGGTCAGGGAAACGGTACCTCGGCAATCAAGTGTCACCTGTCGGGCAGTGCTAGTTGTCGTGAGTGGTATTCCGATGATGTATTCTCTGTTTTTGTTGCGTGGTAGGTCTTTGTTACATCTTGCCGTGTTGGAAGCTTTGTACATACGTACGTTAGACCCTGATCTTTGTGTTCAGAAGGAGAATGTGTTGTCTTTGCAGTTGTTTGGCACTGTTCGTCGTGAAGGTGCGAAATAGAGCCCTTGATCTCTTGATATTTCTCTCTTTTTCTTGTCACTACGTTTTTGTCACTTATTGGATTTGCATGCTGTTTTCTTGATTCTTCACATCTATTTTTTCGTATTATTATTATTTGAAACTCGGGTATTGAGCCAATAATAAAGGTAGAAAGGAAAAGGACATATGAAAACGAGTTAAGAGTAACTCTCCACCACTGTAACTAGATACTATATACAGTCAGAAAGTGCAACAACTAGGCACAAAATTGACAGAGTACTGAGACATTCGACGTCCTGACACCTAGCTTCAACACATCTTCGTAGCGCTAACCGACAGCCTTCCAACTTGGAAGGTTGAAGGTTATGGAAAGACCCGGAAGATGTGTTGAAGCTAGGTGTCAGGACGTCGAATGTCTCAGTACTCTGTCAGTTTTGTGTCTAGTTGTTGCACTTTCTGACTGTATATAGTATCTAGTTACAGTGGTGGAGAGTTACTCTTAACTCGTTTTCATATGTCCTTTTCCTTTCTACTATTATTATTAATTTTTTTATGGGTACAAACTGGTTTATTATGTACTGTTATGAGATGAAATAAAACAGGAAAGGGCACAGGCCCTGATACGTGCAAGGGATGGCAATCAACCTTGCACATGAATTGAGCATGTGTTCTAAATGCATGTAAATGTAAATGCAAAACAATAAAAAACAATAAACACAAACAATGAGCAATAACCTCAGGACTGGGCACAAGTCCTAAA